GAAACAAAACAAGTGGGTGAAACAGAACAAGTGGGTGAAACAGAACAAGTGGGTGAAACAAAACAAGTGGGTGAAACAAAACAAGTGGGTGAACAAAACAAGTGGGTGAAACAAAACAAGTGGGTGAAACAGAACAAGTGGGTGAAACAGAACAAGTGGGTGAACAAAACAAGTGGGTGAAACAAAACAGTGGTGAAACAAAACAAGTGGGTTGAAACAAAACAAGTGGGTGAAACGAAAACAAGTGGGCGTGACCCAAAAAGTGGGTGAAACAAAACAAGTGGGTGAAAACAAAACAAGTGGGTGAAACAAAACAAGTGGGTGAAACAAAAACAAGTGGGTGAAACACAACAAGTGGGTGAAACAAAACAAGTGGGTGAAACAAAACAAGTGGGTGAAACAAAACAAGTGGGTGAAAACCAAACAAGTGGGTGAAACAAAACAACGTGGGTGAAACAAAACAAGTGGGTGAACAAAACAAGTGGGTGAAACAGAACAAGTGGGTGAAACAAAACAAGTGGGTGAAACAAAACAAGTGGGTGAAACAAAACAAGTGGGTGAAACACAACAAGTGGTGAAACACAACAAGTGGGTGAAACAAAACAAGTGGGTGAAAACAAAACAAGTGGGTGAAACAAAACAAGTGGGTGAAACAAAACAAGTGGGGTGAAACAACAACAAGTGGGTGACACAACAAGTGGGTGAAAACAAAACAAGTGGGTGACACAGAGACACAAGTGGGTGAAACAAAACAAGTGGGTGAAACAAAACAAGTGGGTGAAACAAAACAAGTGGGTGAAACAAAACAAGTGGTGAAACAAAACAAGTGGGTGAAAACAAAAACAATGGGTGAAACAAAAACAGTGGGTGAAACCAGAACAAGTGGGTGAAACAAACAAGTGGGTGAAACAGAACAAGTGGGTGAAACAAAACAAGTGGGTGAAACAAAAACAAGTGGGTGAAACAAAACAAGTGGGTGAAACAAAACAAGTGGGTGAAACAAAACAAGTGGGTGAAACAAAACAAGTGGGTGAAACAAAACAGGTGGGTGAAACAAAACAAGTGGGTGAGAACAAAACAAGTGGTGAACAAAACAGTGGGTGAAACAAACAGTGGGTGAAACAAAACAAGTGGGTGAAAACAAAACAAGTGGGTGAAACAGAACAAGTGGGTGAAACAGACAAGTGGGTGAAACAAGAACAAGTGGGTGAAACAAAACAAGTGGGTGAAACAAAACAAGTGGGGTGAAACAAAACAAGTGGGGTGAAACAGAACAAGTGGGTGAAACAGACAAGTGGGTGAAACCAGAACAAGGTGGGTGAAACAAAACAAGTGGGTGAAACAAAACAAGTGGGTGAAACAAAACAAGTGGGTGAAACAAAACAAGTGGGTGAAACAAAACAAGTGGTGAAACAAAACAAGTGGGTGAAACAAAACAAGTGGGTGAAACACAAACAAGTGGGTGAAAACAAAACAAGTGGGTGAAACAAAACAAGTGGTGTAACAGAACAAGTGGGTGAAACAAAACAAGTGGGTGAAAACAAACAAGTGGGTGAAACAAAACAAGTGGGTGAAACAAAACAAGTGGGTGAAAACAAAACAAGTGGGTGAAACAAAACAAGTGGTGAAACAAAACAAGTGGGTGAAACAAAACAAGTGGTGAAACAAAACAAGTGGGTGAAAACAAAACAAGTGGGTGAAACAAAACAAGTGGGTTGAAACAAAACAAAGTGGGTGAAAACAAACAAGTGGGTTGAAACAAAACTAAGGGGTGAAACAAACAAGTGGGTGAAACAAACAAGTGGGTGAAACAAAACAATGGGTGAAACAAAAACAAGTGGGTGAAACAACAAGTGGGTGAACAAACAAGTGGGTGAACAAAACAGTGGTTAACGAACAAGTGGGGGTGAAACAAACAAGTGGGGTGAAACAAAACAAGTGGGTGAAACAAAACAAGTGGGTGAAACAGACAAGTGGGTGAAACAAAACAAGTGGGTGAACAAACAAGTGGGTGAAACAAAACAAGTGGGTGAAACAAAACAAGTGGGTGAAAACAAAACAGTGGGTGAAACAAAACAAGTGGGTGAAACACAACAAGTGGGTGAAACAAAACAAGTGGGTGAAACAAAACAAGTGGGTGAAACAAAACAAGTGGGTGAAACAAAACAAGTGGGTGAAACAAAACAAGTGGGTGAAACAAAACAAGTGGGTGAAACAAAACAAGTGGGTGAAACAAAACAAGTGGGTGAAACAAAACAAGTGGGTGAAACAAAACAAGTGGGTGAAACAAAACAAGTGGGTGAAACAAAACAAGTGGGTGAAACAAAACAAGTGGGTGAAACAAAACAAGTGGGTGAAACAAAACAAGTGGGTGAAACAAAACAAGTGGGTGAAACAAAACAAGTGGGTGAAACAAAACAAGTGGGTGAAACAAAACAAGTGGGTGAAACAAAACAAGTGGGTGAAACAAAACAAGTGGGTGAAACAAAACAAGTGGGTGAAACAAAACAAGTGGGTGAAACAAAACAAGTGGGTGAAACAAAACAAGTGGGTGAAACAAAACAAGTGGGTGAAACAAAACAAGTGGGTGAAACAAAACAAGTGGGTGAAACAAAACAAGTGGGTGAAACAAAACAAGTGGGTGAAACAAAACAAGTGGGTGAAACACAACAAGTGGGTGAAACACAACAAGTGGGTGAAACACAACAAGTGGGTGAAACAAAACAAGTGGGTGAAACAAAACAAGTGGGTGAAACAAAACAAGTGGGTGAAACAAAACAAGTGGGTGAAACAAAACAAGTGGGTGAAACAAAACAAGTGGGTGAAACAAAACAAGTGGGTGAAACAAAACAAGTGGGTGAAACAGAACAAGTGGGTGAAACAAAACAAGTGGGTGAAACAAAACAAGTGGGTGAAACAAAACAAGTGGGTGAAACAAAACAAGTGGGTGAAACAAAACAAGTGGGTGAAACAAAACAAGTGGGTGAAACAAAACAAGTGGGTGAAACAAAACAAGTGGGTGAAACAAAACAAGTGGGTGAAACAAAACAAGTGGGTGAAACAGAACAAGTGGGTGAAACAAAACAAGTGGGTGAAACAAAACAAGTGGGTGAAACAAAACAATGTGGGGGAAACAAAAACAAGTGGTGAAACACAACAAGTGGTGAAACAAAAACAAGTGGGTGAAACAGAACAAGTGGGTGAAACAGAACAAGTCGGTGGTGAAACAAACAAGTGGAGTGAAACAAAACAAGTGGGTGAAACAAAACAAGTGGGTGAAAACAAAACAAGTGGGTGAAACACGAACAAGTGGTGAACAAAACAAGTGGGTGAAACAAACAAGTGGGTTGAAACAAAACAAGTGGGTGAAACAAACAAGTGATTGAAACAAAACAAGTGCGTGAAACACAAGTGGGTGAAACAAAACAAGTGGGTGAAACACAAAACACGTGGGTGAAACAGAACAAGTGGGTGAAACGAACAAGTGGGTGAAACAAAAACAAGTGGGTGAAACAAAACAAGTTGGTGAAACAAAACAAGTGGGTGAACACAATAACAATAGTGGGTGAAACAGAACAAGTTGGTGTGAAACAGAACAAGTGGGTGAAACAGAACAAGTGGGTGAAACCAAAACAAGTGGGTGAAACAAAACAAGTGGGTGAAACAAACAAGTGGTGAAACAAAACAAGTGGGTGAAACAAAACAAGTGGGTGAAACAAAACAAGGTGGGTGAAACAAAACAGTGCGTGAAAACAAAAACAAGTGGCGTGAAACAAAACAATGTGGGTGAAACAAAACAAGTGGGTGAAACAAAACAAGTGGGTGAAACAAAACAAGTGGGTGAAACAAAACAAGTGGGGTGAAACAAAACAAGTGGGTGAAACAAAACAAGTGGGTGAAACAAAACAAGTGGGTGAAACAAAACAAGTGGGTGAAACAAAACAAGTGGGTGAAACAAAACAACGTGGGTGAAACAAAACAAGTGGCGTGTTGAAACAAAACAAGTGGGTGATGAAACAAAAAAGTGGGTGAAACAGGAACAAGTGGGTGAAACAAACAATTGGGTGAAACAAAACAAGTGGGTGAACAAAAACAAGTGGGTGAAACAAAACAAGTGGGTGAACAAAAACAAGTGGGTGAAACACAACAAGTGGGTGAAACAAAACAAGTGGGTGAAACAAAACAAGTGGGTGAAACAGAACAAGTGGGTGAAACAGAACAAGTGGGTGAAACAAAACAAGTGGGTGAAACAGAACAAGTGGGTGAAACAAAACAAGTGGGTGAAACAAAACAAGTGGGTGAAACAGAACAAGTGGGTGAAACAGAACAAGTGGGTGAAACAGAACAAGTGGGTGAAACAAAACAAGTGGGTGAAACAAAACAAGTGGGTGAAACAAAACAAGTGGGTGAAACAAAACAAGTGGGTGAAACAAAACAAGTGGGTGAAACAAAACAAGTGGGTGAAACAAAACAAGTGGGTGAAACAAAACAAGTGGGTGAAACAAAACAAGTGGGTGAAACAAAACAAGTGGGTGAAACAAAACAAGTGGGTGAAACAGAACAAGTGGGTGAAACAGAACAAGTGGGTGAAACAAAACAAGTGGGTGAAACAAAACAAGTGGGTGAAACAAAACAAGTGGGTGAAACAAAACAAGTGGGTGAAACAAAACAAGTGGGTGAAACAGAACAAGTGGGTGAAACAAAACAAGTGGGTGAAACAAAACAAGTGGGTGAAACAAAACAAGTGGGTGAAACAAAACAAGTGGGTGAAACAAAACAAGTGGGTGAAACACAACAAGTGGGTGAAACAAAACAAGTGGGTGAAACAAAACAAGTGGGTGAAACAAAACAAGTGGGTGAAACAAAACAAGTGGGTGAAACAAAACAAGTGGGTGAAACAAAACAAGTGGGTGAAACACAACAAGTGGGTGAAACACAACAAGTGGGTGAGGCATGCAAACCGTAACCGTAACTGTATCCGTAGCCGCAACCCCATCCTTCTATAGGACCCCAGTACCCCCTCCCCCCTCTCCTCTCCTCACCTGTCTGGCTGCCTCCTCCCGGACGGTAGCGATCCGATCCCTGCATGCATGCATGGCATGCGCGTGAACAGTGGTCATGGGTGAGGGTGGGTGGGAGGAAATGAGAAAGAAGCAAGGATGAGGGTGGGAGAGGGAAGCGGAGTAGCGATGAGGGAGTAGTGCGGGTAGAGGAGCACTGCTTTTCAGTCGGACCGGTTGTCATCTGCACTGGTTGTCACCTGCACTGGTTGTCACCTGCACCAGTTGTCTACTGCGCTTGTAATCCTCACTGGGTTACTTCGTGTCCTAGCTGCTACCAGCAGCAGATGTCACCTGAACCAGCTACCACCTGCACTCATAACTCACACTGGGTTACTACTTGTCGTGGCGACCACCTGCATCCGATGTGACCTGAACCAGATACCACCTGCACCAGTTTGCACCTGCAGAGGGAGAGAGCGAGGTCGATGAGGAGAGGCAGGGCGGCGCTGTTGGGCGGCAGCAACTGCGCCACTCCTGATGCTTGGCTGGGGTGGTGGGGAGGGGGGAAGACAGGGAAAGAGGGGGAGAGAGGGGGAGAGAGAGAGAGAGGAGAAGAAAGAGTGAGAAAAAAGTAGATGGAGATGGTAGGGAGGAGAGAAGGTACACGAAGTCCAGTGAACAGGGAGTGCAGCCATGTGTCCTCCGTTTCATGAGTGGAGTCAGCGAGGCCCCATGGGTTGGGAAAGCGGGTGGGTGGGGAGCCTGTAGCTACACGGTGTCACCCACCCTGGCTGTACGGGCAACTGTACTCACATGAGTGCAGCCAGGCGGAGGTGCCACCTGCTGCCAACATAGCGTGCACCACCTCTCTATTTCCTAGCAGGTATTTCCCAACTGTGAGGCCAGGCAACAACCTGACCAGCTATACAGCCGCCCACCTGAGAGCAGCAAGGCGCATGTGCCAGCTGCTCTCTCGGCCGGCCACAATCGGGTTGCTGCCAACACAGCCCACCTGCTGGTGCGTGCATCGTCCTCACCCCAATTCTACATCCAGGAGTACAGCCGCCCACCTGAGAGCAGCGAGGCGCAGGTGCCAGGAGCTCTCCTGGCCGGCCACACGCATCTGCGGGCGCACGCGGTTGCGGCTGGGGAGGGCCCTCAGCTGCACCTGCACACTCGGGTTGCTGCCGCCCAGCACCAGCGGCCTCGGCGAATCTGCTGCCGCCACGTGGATGCGCACTGTGTTGGGCGCCGGCGTGCCCACCTGCACCTGCAGCCGATACTCGCCGCCCTGCTGGCCGCTGCTGGTGGGGTGCTGCTGCAGCAGCTGCTGTTGATCGCTGCTGCTGCTGGGGTGCTGTTCCAACGGCTGCTGACTGCTGCTGCTGCTGCTGGGGGGTTGCTGCTGCAACAGCTGATGGAAGTCACTGGTAGACTGGTTACACTCCTCGAGACTGGTAGACTGGTTAGACTCCTCCTCGAGCTTCCCCGTGGGACTATCATGATTTGGTCCCTCCTCCACATCCTTCCCTTCTCCTCCTTCATTCCCCCCTTCTCTGTTGCCTTGTTCCTCCTCCCCTCTCTGCGTTCCTTCCTCTCCCATAGATCTGTCTTCTTCCCTGCATTCGTCTTCCTCAAGCCCCCTCTGGTCCCCTCTCAACTCAGCCTGCGACCCCTGCACTTTCCTCTCCGCTTCTTCTGCTGCCTCTGCTCTCTCTGCCCCATTTGCCCCCTCTGCCCCGTCTGCCCCGTCTGCCCCCTCTGCCCCATTTGCCCTTTCTGTCCCCACTGCTCCTTCTTCTCCCTCTGCCCCGTTCCCCTCGTTCCCTCTCCCACTCCCCTCGCTCAACCTATCCCCATTACTCTCACTCCCCTCGATCACACCATTACCACTAGTACTACTGCTCTCACTCCCTTCATTCAAACTATCATCACCACGCCTCTCACCCCCCTCCACACTCTGCCTTGCACACTCACGCCCCACCTCCCCTCCACCACCATCCACTCCCGCTTCAGATGCCACCTCCCCGCCACCACCATCCACACCACCCCCCAATGACACCTCCCCACCCTTAACCTCCACGCCTCCCCCAAATGCCACCTCCCCCAGCCAACCGCCTGTCCCAAGGCCACCCAGCCCACTCACTATCTTCGCCCACAGCCCACCGCTCTCCTCCCTCGCCTCCTCCCTCACTTCCTCCCTCGCCTCCTCCCTCACTTCCTCCCTCGTCTCCTCTCTCACTTCCTCCCTCGCCTCCTCCCTCGCCTCCTTTCCCTCACCACCCTGCCCAGCTTCCAGCCGCTCCCCATCGTTACTGTCACATGGATTTACCTCTCTCTCGCCACTGTCACACGTGTTACTCCCACCCTCAACAGCCCCATCCGCAGCACCAGCCACGAGGCTCCTTGGCGGCGGTGGGTACCGAGGGCTATCCACATACTCCTCACCATCTACACTTGCCTCCTGGATCACACCACTACTTATAACGAATCCTTCTTCAGTGGGGCGTGGTGCCACAGGGCTCTGAGCAAGGGGGCTATCCAGATGTGCACTTGGGGTCAAGCGAGCGACCATCAGCCCCTCTGGCCTCTTCCCCACTCTCTCTGCGCCTCCGGCAGCACAATTCACTGCTTCTGACGCACAACCTTCTTCCCCCTCACTCCCCCCTCTGCCCTCTCCTCCCTCAATCCCCTCTCCTTCACTTCTCTCTCCTCCCTCCCTTCTCTCTCCACCCTCTGCTGATGCAGCTGCAGCTGCTATTGCTGCTGCTTCTGCAGCCTCTGCAGCCTCTGCAGCGCGCTGAGCTGCCATCTCCTGAGCCTGGACCTCCTGGGGCGTGAGCCCCTGGCGCCACAGCAGGCGCGGCAGCAGGCGAGCGCAGTGAGGGCGGTGGGAGGCGGGCAGACACGCCATGAAGGCCGTGAATGTGGGCACCAACGCCATGCGCACCTGATGGGGGTCCACAGGGGGGGAGTGGAAGGGGGCATTGAGGGGGATGCGTAGCAGAACACGCAGTGCGGGCGGTGGGAGGCGGGCAGACACGCCATGAAGGCCGTGAATGTGGGCACCAACGCCATGCGCACCTGATGGGGGGCACGGGGGGGGGGAGTGGAGGAGAGGCAGAGAGTGATGGATAGGAGAGGGTGCAGTGCAGGCAGGGAGGCGAGCAGGCAGCATGCGGCAGGCAGGGCAGCGGGCAGCAGGCAGCGGGCAGCAGGTGCGGGCAGCATTCAGCAGGCAGGGGGAAGCAGGCAGTGCACACATCAGGGACAGGCACAACCACACAACCCCGCCCCTCCCTCTCCCCTCCTCCCCCCTAACACCCACCTCGTCCTCGTCGCACACCAGTGCCTCCAGCGCGGCAGCAGGCAGCGCACGGTGATTGCTGGGCCCAGCAGCCCCGCACCACACGCCCCTGCTCTCCGTCTCCACTCCTTCCTCCCTCACCCGCCCACCTCGTCCTCATCACACACGAGTGCCTCGAGGGCACGCAGCAGAGCTGGCAGCACACCCATCACACACAGGCACTCGCACACCCCCCTTCCCCCCTTCTCTTCCAAACGCCCACTCACCTCGTCCTCGTCGCGCACGAGCGCCTGGAGGGCCGGCAGCAGGCAGCACACGCATCCGACACAGGAACCCCCTTACACCCCTGCCCACGCTCTCCCGCCTTCCCCCCACCAACCCACGTCGTCCTCGTCGCACACGAGCGCCTGGAGGGCCGGCAGCAGGCAGCGCACGGTGATAGCTGGCCCCAGCAGCCCCGCACACCCCTGCCCTCCCTCTCCCATCCTTCCTCCCAAACCCACGCACCTCGTCTTCGTCGCACACTAACGCCTGCAGCGCAGGAAGCAGGCAGCGCACGGTGATGGCCGGCCCCAGCAGCCCCGCCAGCTCATGCACGTGACACGCCAGCGTGCGCCGCACCGCCAGCTGGCACGCCACGATTGGTGGAGAGGAGAGGAGGCAGGGGTTCGAGGGAGGAGGAATGGGTGAGGGAAAAGATGGAGACGGAGAGAGATGACAAGAGTGAGTGAGGGTGGAGGGGCGAGGGAAGAGTGGTTGACAGCATGCACTCACATGGGGTGATGGGGGGGGCACTAGGCTTACGGTGTCAGCAGTGCGCGCATGGGGGCACTGTTCACATGGCAGCCGTGACTTGGCTCACATGGGGATGGGGGGGAGGCAGCAGGTGGGCGGACTGTGTGGCCGGCCTCATCGCAGGCCAGCATCGCAGCTACTCGCACGAGGGTGCCGCAGTGGAGAGCTCACATGAGGGTGCCGCAGTGGAGAGCTCACATGAGGGTGCCGCAGTGGCCGGGTGACTCACATGGGGCGAGGCGAGCAGGTGCGCGTATGCTGCTTCCAGCTCCCACCAGCGCGATGGGCCCAGCCCCACCACCACCGCTGCCAGATGAACGGGGGGAATGGGGGGGAGGAGTGGGTAAGGCAAGGGGGAAGGTGAAGAGGGAAAGGGGAAAGAGGAAGGGGGAAAGGTTGAAGGCGGTAGGGAGAAGGCCAAGGGGGAAAGAGGAAAGAGGAGGGGCTAGGGGAGGAAGAAACAATGGAGAGGAAAGTGGAGGAAAGGAAGGTCCACCGGGTTGCATTTCATGACAGCATGCATGGGAGGGAGGTGACTGGCAGGTTGGCCACTGGCCGTTTTTATTCCCCATTCTGGAGCACTGTCATGATGTCATCCACGCAGTGTCCAAGGGCGGTGCCTCGTTGCCTAGAACACCAGGATAATTGAGCCTCATGTCCAACCCTAACCCTAACTTGCGACCGCGGGAGACACATGCTAGCAGAGGGCCCCACCTGGGAAGTTGTAGGCGCAGTAGAGCGGCAGGCGGTCATCGTCTGCATCAGCATCGCCGTCATCGCCCATGGGCACTGTCATGTCATCCAAACAGCATGCCAGGGCAGTATCTCGTTGCTCAGAAAGGGCAAACTGAGCCTCATGTCAAGCCCAGCTGTTACTCCCACCTGGGAAGTTGAAGGCGCAGTAGAGCGGCAGGCGGTCATCGTCTGCATCTGCATCGCCATCATCACCCATGGGCACTGGCTGTGCCATGCTCGTAAACATGTGCACCAGGTCCTGGATGGGCGGGGCGGGGAGGGGCGTGGAGCTAAGTTGGTCTCTTACGTTTTTTTGAGGTCTCGTAAACGTAAATTTCGCGTAATTTAGCGTGAACGTAAACGGAAACGTAAAATTACGCGTAAGTATGAGGCGGGCAGGAAAAAAAAAACTAATGTGATTTTTTTTTTTTCTGGATTGTGTACGGGTACCAGATCCTACCACTAATTTCTCGTGTACCTGCATAGAATAGCGACTTTACTACGTATGGAGCGCCTTTCAAGTCTGTGAAAGTTTCAGCTTCAGCGTTGACCGGGTTAGTAAGAGAGAAACACGATAGGTTGCGAACGAGCTGCTAGGTTGACGCCGAACAAGATAGCGAGTTACAGAACTAGGTTGGAGGGAATCTTCCTGATGCTCTGGTCGTTTTTTTTCCCCGGGCAGCTCAGAAAAGTTAGTAGGTGACCGTAAACGTAAGGCCGAATCAGGGCGACCGTTCGTAAACGTAAAAATTGTCGAAATCGTCCGAAAACGTAAGATCCAACTTAGGCGTGGAGTGGCGCGAAGGGGTGTGGTGTGGCGGGTTGGTGGAGGGAGATGAGGAATAATGGCAGCGCACACAGTGGACAGGGCAAACAGGATTGACAATCACAGGTAGGGTACAGTGGGGAGGGGCGAGAAGGGGAGCAGGTAGGGTGGGGTGGAAGGACAGGGCTTGTGAAAATGGGCATTAGGATTGACAATCACAGCATGCTTGCGGGAAAATGAGGGGCCCGAGACGTGGGAATCAAGAGAAGGGAAACGACCGGAAGAAAATCGCGAGGAAGGAAACGCGAACGGAGGTTAATGGACACAGCACTAGCAAGCAAAGGACCTGTTTCTCTATTTTCACAATCCCTGTGCTCCCTTCCCATTTCTCTTCTCACACGAGTTGACTTTTGAGTCGACTCAAAAGTGCACTAGCAAGCAAAGGACCTGTTTCTCCCTGTTCACAATCCCTGTGCTCCCTTCCCATTTCTCTTCTCACACGCCCATCCACATGTCAGCAGCGCCCCCCTGCTCTCACCCGCATGTCAGCACCACGCAGCACGGACAGCAGCGGCCCCAGCATCTGCAGAGCTGCCTCTCGCACCCACGCTGATGGCTGCCCGTGGGGTGGGGGGTGTGGTGGGGGGTGCGGTGGGGGGTGTGAGTGAGGTGTGGGATGAAAAGTGTAGTGTGAAGGGGGGGCACAGGAAACGTGGGCACAGGGAAAACTTACCCCAACTCCACGTGAGAACATAGAAATTCCAGTTACCACATCATTCCACACCACACCACACCACACCACACCACACCACACCACACCACACCACACCACACCACACCACACCACACCACACTCACATCATTCACCAGTCGGCCCATGAGCTCCCCAATGAGCTGAGTCCGCTGCCTCACTCGTGACACCTCCTCCTCCTCCACACCCTTGCCCCCCTCCTCTCCACCCCCCTCCTCCTCCCGCCCAATCACCCCACTTCCCTCCTCCCCATTTTCCTCCTCTACTCCACACTCCCTCACAGCTGCAAGCGAGCTCACTTCAAGCTCACCCGCTTCCTCCCTAGTCTCCCGCACTTCTTCAATCTCCCCCCAACTCTCAGACCCCATTCCACCGTGCCGCACCGCTCCAGACACCATCCCACCACCCTGCACCCTTGTCTCTCCTGCGAGCCCCACATCCCCCATACTGACTTCCTCAGTAGCAGGTGCAGCTTCTCTTGACAAATCACTTGCAGCTTCAAGCCCCTGTGCTGCAGCGTTTGCACTCTCCATCTCACCTGCAGCAGCTGCCACAGCCCCTGTACCTTCACCTCCTCCTGCTAATCCCACTCCCTCTGCTGCTGCCGCTGCTCCTCCCAGACCTGCTGCTGCCTGTGCGTCCCTCTCCTCTCCCAACTGCAATTCTTCCATACGCACGCCTCTCAGACTCTCACTCCCACTATCCCCACTGCTCCCACTGCTCCCACTGCTCCTGCTGCCACTACTCCCACTGCTCCTGCTGCTCCCGCTGCTGCCACCGCTGCTGCTACTGCTGCTGCTTCCCTGGCTGCCCACGCTCCCATCGCTGCCGCTGCTGCCGTTGCTGCTGGCAACGCTGCTACCACCACTGCCAGTGCCACGGCTGTCTGTACCAGCAGCGGCAGCCTTGGGCGTGAGAGCAACAGCCGCCTCTGCCACTGCCACTATGCCCTCTGCACACGCCACTCGCACGGCCCAGGATGTGTCGGAACAGAGCGAGGCGAACAGGGGTAGCTGGGGATTGAAGGGGTGGGACGGAACGGGAGAGAAACAACACACGAGTCAGCTCAGACACTGTTCAAGTCTAACTCTCAGAAAAGCAGCCTCTGCCACTGCCGCTATGCCCTCTGCACACGCCACTCGCACTGCCCACGATGTGTCGGAACAGAGCGAGGCGAACAGGGGGAGCTGAGGAACAACGGGTGGAGGGAAGGTGGCAATGAGAAAAAGAAAAAGAGCACACAAGTCAGCTCAGACACTGTTAGAGTCTAACCCTCAGAACCAGCAGCCTTTGCCTCTGCCACTGCCACTATGCCCTCTGCACACGCCACTCACACGGCCCACGAGGAGTCGGAACAAAGCGAGGCAAACAGGGGGAGCTGAGGAACAACGGGTGGGAGGGAAGGTCAAAGGGAAGAACAACGACACACAAGTCAGCTCAGACACTGTTAGAGTCTAACCCTCAGAACCAGCAGCCGCTGCCTTTGCCTCTGCCACTATGCCCTCCGCACACGCCACTCGCACTGCCGGAGTCGGAACAGAGCGAGGTGAACAGGGGAAGCTGGGGGAACGAGGGTGCTGGTGGAAGGAAGGTGGGAACAAGAAAATTAAAAAACAGCATACAAAACAGCTCAGCAACAGCAGCCTCCCCCACTGTTCTCACTGTCCAATCTTTACACTTAGGCTATCAAGGAGGCCGTGGAGCAGGCAATAGGTTTTCCTTCTAATTGCTTACACTCACCAGCGAGCCGTCCAGGCATGCCGCATTCGCCCCCATGGCCCTGCAGCACTGCGCCAAGCCCTCTGCTACAGCCTGCATGGGGGAGGGCGCGGAGGGGGGTACGGGGGGGAAGAGTGAGGGGAGAGTGAGCAATGGAAGTGTGCAGAATCTCTCCACCAGCTTACGGTCTAAGTGCTGTTAGAATCAAGAGAGGCGTGAGCCTGAAGCCAGACGAGACAAGGACGGAAAGAGAGTGATGTGGCATGGGTAGAAAGGAGCATGAGCCCTTCTTCTCCTCTCAGCGACCAAGCCTTGGAAGGCTAAGAAAAAAAAGAAAGTTCCTGTAAGGTGAAGTGAAGGTGGATAGAGGGCTAGAGAACGAGGGGGCCGAGCTGTGCTGAGCAGTACGAGTCTGCTTTTCAGGCGCCTCCAGAAGGAGCGATATGCTGAGAAGCAGGAGTGGGACTAACATTATTTAACCCGAAGGTGAGTCAGTATTGTGACATTTCTTCTCGGAAGTGAGTCAGCAGCGCACCTTTCTGACTTGGAAGTGCACGTCAGCAGCGAGCGCAAGCAGGTGCGGCACGGCTCGGTGCTCAAAGAGGGGGCGGCTCATCACCGCTGCACAGCGCACCAGTACCTGAGAAGTCGGGTGGCAGGGGGAAAAAGTTTCTTTTGCCATTCGACTGTAAAGCAGCTCGGTGCACAAAGAGGGAATGGCTCATCCACTGCCCCACAGCGCACCGGCATTGAGAAGGCATCAAGCAGCAGGGGAGAGACTGGATATGCACACAGGGAGACACAGAGGGGGGTAAAAAGGGGCCGAAGAGGAGGAGCGGGGATGCTGATGCTGACGCTACTGCAAACGGAGCAATACCCAAAAAAGGGTCCACTCCATCGACTCACAGAGGCAGCGCAGACGCGAGCAGGTTGGGAGTGCGGCAGCAGCGCGAGGCGCAGGAGGGCATCGAGCAGCATCGCCTCCACCGCTGCATCCTCCTCCGCGCCATACGCCATCATCGCCACATAGCCTCCCTCCATTGCGACTTGCACCTGCAGGGGGGGGTAGCAGGCAAAGCAGACAGCGCAGCGGCGCAACACAGGGTGAGCACAGCAGCATCGCCTTCACTTCACCGCTGCGTCCTCCTCTGCGCCATACGCAGCAATTGCCACATAGCCACCCTCCATTGCGACTTGCACCTGTCAGGCAGAGAGGAAAGAGGCGCAGGAGCAGAGGAAGGGACGGGCGAGGAAAAAAGCGTGAGCACAGCACCACGACGTGTACTGCTGTGTCCTTCTCTGCGCCATACGCAGCCATTGCCACATACCTGCCCTCCATCGCGACTTGCACCAGTGGGGCGGAGGTCGTACTCCAGGCAGGGAAGTACGAGACAGCTAGGGCAGCAGCTCAGCTCATACCCACCTAGGAACCAGCAAGCAACCCCCACGCCAATGTTCCCCCAGGCCTGTCAGCATCGGCTCCATCAGTGCCCCGCGCGGCCATCCAGAGCCCGCGCGGCCATCCAGTACCCACGCGGCCATCCAGTACCCGCGCGGCCATCCAGTACCCACGCGGCCATCCAGTACCCGCGCGGCCATCCAGTACCCACGCGGCCATCCAGTACCCGCGCGGCCATCCAGTACCCACGCGGCCATCCAGTACCCACGCGGCCATCCATCCCCGCGCGCAAGGGAGAGCGAGGAAGGGAGGGCCACCCGGGCCATCGAGTAGGGACCTCCGTTCCTCGCCCTCCGATCCTTCATGCCCGCCCTTTGCCTCACCTCCTCAGCCTCATCTAGCAGCAGCTGGCTCGCCACGTCCATCACCCACGTCAATGCCTCCATCACTGCCCCGCGCCCCCATCCACTGCCCTCTGCCTGCCCCATTTTCTTCCTTCCCTTGCTTGCCCTCCTGCCCTTCTCCGCCCTGCCTCACCTCTTCAGCCTCGTCCAGCAGAAGCTAGTTCGCCACGTCCATGAGCATCAGCTCCATCAGTGCCCCCATCCACTACCCCTCTCCTCCCTCCCTACATCCACTTCCCTTTCCATACACTGTCCTGCATACCTCCTGTCCTTCCCTTCCCGCCCCCCGCCTCACCTCCTCAGCCTCGTCCAGCAGCAGCAGGTTCGCCACGTCCATGAGCTCCATCAGTGCCCCGCGCGCCCTGCTGCCCGCCTGACATGGGGGGGAGGGCAGGCGGTGGAGGGGTGTATCCCATGGGTGGGCGAGTGGACAGGTGAATGGATGGATGGGTGTGCAAATTGAGAGGTGCGTGGGAGGGCCCAGATGCATGCAGGAGCGAGAGAATGATGGCTTAGAAGCTTCTCATCCACAGGACAGGCTGTTCCGCTCCTTCCTCACGCACCACCGCCACCAGCACAGCAACCAGCAGCACTGCAGCACAGCAACCAGCAGCACTGCAGCACAGCAACCAGCAGCACTGCAGCACAGCAACCAGCAGCACTGCAGCACAGCAACCAGCAGCACTGCAGCACAGCAACCAACAGCACTGCAGCACAGCAACCAACAGCACTGCAGCACTGCAGCACAGCAACCAGCAGCACTGCAGCACAGCAACCAACAGCACTGCAGCACAGCAACCAGCAGCACTGCAGCACAGCAACCAACAGCACTGCAGCACAGCAACCAACAGCACTGCAGCACAGCAACCAGCAGCACTGCAGCACAGCAACCAACAGCACTGCAGCACAGCAACCAACAGCACTGCAGCACAGCAACCAACAGCACTGCAGCACAGCAACCAGCAGCACTGCAGCACAGCAACCAACAGCACTGCAGCACAGCAACCAACAGCACTGCAGCACAGCAACCAACAGCACTGCAGCACAGCAACCAACAGCACTGCAGCACAGCAACCAACAGCACTGCAGCACAGCAACCAACAGCACTGCAGCACAGCAACCAGCAGCACTGCAGCACAGCAACCAACAGCACTGCAGCACAGCAACCAGCAGCACTGCAGCACAGCAACCAGCAGCACTGCAGCACAGCAACCAACAGCACTGCAGCACAGCAACCAACAGCACTGCAGCACAGCAACCAACAGCACTGCAGCACAGCAACCAGCAGCACTGCAGCACAGCAACCAACAGCACTGCAGCACAGCAACCAACAGCACTGCAGCACAGCAACCAGCAGCACTGCAGCACAGCAATCAACAGCACTGCAGCACAGCAACCAACAGCACTGCAGCACAGCAACCAGCAGCACTGCAGCACAGCAACCAACAGCACTGCAGCACAGCAACCAACAGCACTGCAGCACAGCAACCAACAGCACTGCAGCACAGCAACCAGCAGCACTGCAGCACAGCAACCAACAGCACTGCAGCACAGCAACCAACAGCACTGCAGCACAGCAACCAACAGCACTGCAGCACAGCAACCAACAGCACTGCAGCACAGCAACCAACAGCACTGCAGCACAGCAACCAACAGCACTGCAGCACAGCAACCAACAGCACTGCAGCACAGCAACCAACAGCACTGCAGCACAGCAACCAGCAGCACTGCAGCACAGCAACCAACAGCACTGCAGCACAGCAACCAACAGCACTGCAGCACAGCAACCAACAGCACTGCAGCACAGCAACCAGCAGCACTGCAGCACAGCAACCAACAGCACTGCAGCACAGCAACCAACAGCACTGCAGCACAGCAACCAGCAGCACTGCAGCACAGCAACCAACAGCACTGCAGCACAGCAACCAACAGCACTGCAGCACAGCAACCAACAGCACTGCAGCACAGCAACCAACAGCACTGCAGCACAGCAACCAACAGCACTGCAGCACAGCAACCAGCAGCACTGCAGCACAGCAACCAACAGCACTGCAGCACAGCAACCAACAGCACTGCAGCACAGCAACCAACAGCACTGCAGCACAGCAACCAGCAGCACTGCAGCACAGCAACCAACAGCACTGCAGCACAGCAACCAACAGCACTGCAGCACAGCAACCAACAGCACTGCAGCACAGCAACCAACAGCACTGCAGCACAGCAACCAACAGCACTGCAGCACAGCAACCAGCAGCACTGCAGCACAGCAACCAGCAGCACTGCAGCACAGCAACCAACAGCACTGCAGCACAGCAACCAACAGCACCGCAGCACAGCAACCAACAGCACTGCAGCACAGCAACCAGCAGCACTGCAGCACAGCAACCAGCAGCACTGCAGCACAGCAACCAACAGCACTGCAGCACAGCAACCAACAGCACTGCAGCACAGCAACCAACAGCACTGCAGCACAGCAACCAACAGCACTGCAGCACAGCAACCAACAGCACTGCAGCACAGCAACCAACAGCACTGCAGCACAGCAACCAGCAGCACTGCAGCACAGCAACCAACAGCACTGCAGCACAGCAACCAACAGCACTGCAGCACAGCAACCAACAGCACCGCAGCACAGCAACCAACAGCACTGCAGCACAGCAACCAGCAGCACTGCAGCACAGCAACCAGCAGCACTGCAGCACAGCAACCAACAGCACTGCAGCACAGCAACCAACAGCACTGCAGCACAGCAACCAACAGCACTGCAGCACAGCAACCAGCAGCACTGCAGCACAGCAACCAACAGCACTGCAGCACAGCAACCAACAGCACTGCAGCACAGCAACCAGCAGCACTGCAGCACAGCAACCAACAGCACTGCAGCACAGCAACCAACAGCACTGCAGCACAGCAACCAGCAGCACTGCAGCACAGCAACCAACAGCACTGCAGCACAGCAACCAGCAGCACTGCAGCACAGCAACCAACAGCACTGCAGCACAGCAACCAACAGCACTGCAGCACAGCAACCAACAGCACTGCAGCACAGCAACCAGCAGCACTGCAGCACAGCAACCAGCAGCACTGCAGCACAGCAACTAACAGCACTGCAGCACAGCAACCAACAGCACTGCAGCACAGCAACCAACAGCACTGCAGCACAGCAACCAGCAGCACTGCAGCACAGCAACCAGCAGCACTGCAGCACAGCAACCAACAGCACTGCAGCACAGCAACCAACAGCACTGCAGCACAGCAACCAGCAGCACTGCAGCACAGCAACCAACAGCACTGCAGCACAGCAACCAACAGCACTGCAGCACAGCAACCAGCAGCACTGCAGCACAGCAACCAACAGCACTGCAGCACAGCAACCAGCAGCACTGCAGCACAGCAACCAGCAGCACTGCAGCACAGCAACCAACAGCACTGCAGCACAGCAACCAACAGCACTGCAGCACAGCAACCAACAGCACTGCAGCACAGCAACCAGCAGCACTGCAGCACAGCAACCAACAGCACTGCAGCACAGCAACCAACAGCACTGCAGCACAGCAACCAGCAGCACTGCAGCACAGCAACCAACAGCACTGCAGCACAGCAACCAACAGCACTGCAGCACAGCAACCAGCAGCACTGCAGCACAGCAACCAACAGCACTGCAGCACAGCAACCAACAGCACTGCAGCACAGCAACCAACAGCACTGCAGCACAGCAACCAGCAGCACTGCAGCACAGCAACCAACAGCACTGCAGCACAGCAACCAACAGCACTGCAGCACAGCAACCAACAGCACTGCAGCACAGCAACCAGCAGCACTGCAGCACAGCAACCAACAGCACTGCAGCACAGCAACCAGCAGCACTGCAGCACAGCAACCAACAGCACTGCAGCACAGCAACCAACAGCACTGCAGCACAGCAACCAGCAGCACTGCAGCACAGCAACCAACAGCACTGCAGCACAGCAACCAGCAGCACTGCAGCACAGCAACCAGCAGCACTGCAGCACAGCAACCAACAGCACTGCAGCACAGCAACCAACAGCACTGCAGCACAGCAACCAGCAGCACCGCAGCACAGCAACCAACAGCACTGCAGCACAGCAACCAACAGCACTGCAGCACAGCAACCAGCAGCACTGCAGCACAGCAACCAACAGCACCGCAGCACAGCAACCAACAGCACTGCAGCACAGCAACCAACAGCACTGCAGCACAGCAACCAACAGCACTGCAGCACAGCAACCAACAGCACTGCAGCACAGCAACCAGCAGCACTGCAGCACAGCAGCTGAGAGCAAACAGGGTACGCACACGCGTGATTTTATAAGCAGGCGATGAGACGGCATCGCACAGTGAATTCCCACAAGTCACAACCTAACCTTGCTTGCACTACGTACATGCGTATGCACATGCACGTGTACATCGAAAGAAGTGCAGGTGGGGTGCACGGGTGAAGGGAAGGGCAGGGGCACACAGCAGCAGGGGCAGTGCATACCGGGACATATGCACGCGGGCAGGGCGTACTGGCGCAGGGCAGGGCAGGGCAAGCAACACAGGGGCGGTGCAGCAGGGCAGGGCAGCGCGTACCGGGGCATATGCGCGCAGGCAGGGCATACCGGGGCATATGCGCACAGGCAGGGCGTACCGGGGCATATGCGCGCAGGCAGGGCATACTGGGGCATATGCGCGCAGGCAGGGCGTACCGGGGCATATGCGCGCAGGCAGGGCGTACCGAGGCATATGCGCGCAGGCAGGGCGTACCGGGGCATATGCGCGCAGGCAGGGCGTACCGAGGCATATGCGCGCAGGCAGGGCGTACCGGGGCATATGCGCGCAGGCAGGGCGTACCGAGGCATATGCGCGCAGGCAGCGCGTACCGGGGCATATGCGCGCAGGCAGGGCGTACCGGGGCATATGCGCGCAGGCAGGGCGTACTGGGGCATATGCGCGCAGCAGCTGCGGAATCTGCTCGGCGAGCGTCTGGCGGATCTCAGGCTCGCTGTCATTGGCCAGCTCCCTGCACAACGGGACAAACGCCGCCGCCGACCCGTCCAAGCCCAGCTTCCTGGCAGCTTCCGCCATGTAGCATATGTGGTAGAGCCTGGTGGGGGCAGTTGTTGACAAGGGGGGGTGGGGAAAGATGGGGAACGAACAGGCAGAGGATTATTGCATAGCAAACGCGGTAGCGACTGTTAGGAGAAGCGGCTGAGGTGAGGAGAAAGGGGAGAGGCGAACGAGGAGGAAGGGAAGGGGGTTGGATGGCGGGAAACAGTGCCACGCTGCATGGCAAGGGGGAAAGGTGAAAAGAGGACACGATTGGCAGCTGTAACGGAGTGTGCACGTGGCTCGCTCCCTGGATCCAAGACATATGAAGGGAGGCCGCATGAGACACGACTTGGGAGGCGGTTTGAGAGGCGACTTGAGACGTGCAGTAACATATGCTCCGAGAGGTGGCTTGCAATATGGGAGGTGGCTTGCAATATGGGAGGTGGCTTGCAATATGGGAGGTGGCTTGCAATATGGGAGGTGGCTTGCAATATGGGAGGTGGCTTGCAATATGGGAGGTGGCTTGCAATATGGGAGGTGGCTTGCAATATGGGAGGTGGCTTGCAATATGGGAGGTGGCTTGCAATATGGGAGGTGGCTTGCAAGGAGGTATAAGAGGTGGCCTAGGAAGTGGTTTAGGAAGTGGTTTAGGAGGACCAAACTTGCCTTTGTACAAAAGCGTCGCTGTGCACGAGCGTGCATATCGTGTCCACGTCAGATAGGCTACTGTCTTCGTCAGCACTGTCCTCGTCCTCGTCACTGCCACTATCCGTATCATCTTCATCAACGGTGCTATAAGCAGCAGCACCACCTACAGCAGCAGCAACTGCAGCAACTCCAGCATCAGCAGCAGCAGTCGTAACAGCACTAGCGGGAGAAGCCGCAGCAACAACACCAGCAGAAGCACCATCACCACTAGCATCAGCATCATCAGCAGCAGCACCACTACCAGCAACATCACAGTGATCCGTTTCCGTCTCCACGCCCTGCCCATCACAATGTGGCACGTGTGCCAACAGCCTAAGGCGCTCTATGGCTCTCGCTCTTTCTTGCTCCAATACCGCTACATTCCCCTCTTTCTGTTGCTCCGCACGGCCGACCATCCCGTCGCCTCCCACCCCGTCTGCCCCAGCCCTTTCTTGCTCCAGGTTTCGCGAATGCTCGTCTTCTCCTTTCTTCTTCTCAGTTCCATCGTCCTCCTCTCGTGTCCTCTCCTCTTCGTTTCGCTCCTCCTCACTTCTTTGCTTCTCCTCCGTTTCTCTTCTTTCCTCCGCTCCTCCTTCCCCCAGTCCCGCCCCACTCCGCTCCGCCCTTCCGCGACCCCGACTCCTTCCGCCGTAGCCCCTTCCACGTCCCCTTCGTCGCTCAGGAAATGCGATCTCCTGCGCAATGGCCCTTACTCGCATCGTCGCCTCCTCGATGGTCAGCAAATGCGGCTCCGAACTGTCTCCTCTCGCCCCGTCTCCTCTCACCCCGTCTCTGTCCTCCTCCTGCTTTTCCTGTCCGTCCCTCTGCGTCTCTCGCTCTCCACCTTCGCCTCCACTCGTCTCGATCTGCGTGGCTTCACCGTTAAGCGTTTCGACGCTTCCTGCATCCGACACTACCGATGCCTCCATGGCTGTTCTTTGCGCGTCTACGGCTCGTCACGTACCCCCACTCTTACGCCGAAACTTCTCTCTACGTCTTCGTCTGCGCAGTATCAGTTAGCGGCGACTCGGATCTAGATTCACTGGATCTGCCACGTGGACAGCATTCGTCTCGCTTTGTCCTCGTCAAAGTTTCGCTGTATTAAGCGCATGCGTCAGGTATTTAGCGCATGCGAGAGGTATATAAATATTAGGAGTGACTCTAGGTTGTGAGGCTGACCGGGATGTTCTAGGTGAGGCCCGGTGTTCAATCAGTCTAGAGCTGATTGAGTAGCTTCAATAAAAAACAAGAGGCGACGAGTCGTCGTAGGGTTGCGAAGCGATTTTCCATAAGTTATAACTCAAATTTATAAAACTTGTAATTACTAACATGAAACTCAGTGACACTTTGTTCCATTTGGTTGAAATGTGGAAAAGTTGGCACAACAAGGTTCGAACTGGCGACATCGCGATTTCATGACGATTCTCACTCTACTGCGCTACAACGGCTGTTACGATAGAGCACAAACGTTTAATCCTGTAAGGGTATGCGACGAAATTGACACTGCCTTGGGGTTTGTGTCTTCCATTTTCCACTCTTTTCCTCTCGCTAGTGAAGCTTGCCCTTCAGATTCTCACGCTAGTCATGCTCCACCTAACTACCAGGTGAGAAGGCCCTAGAACTAAGTTAGATGTTATTTGCTAGACCTAAGCACGTTCTTATTAGCTATGACGACCCATAATATAGCGCGGTCGATGTTGCTGTTCTCGTTCGATGTTGCTGTTGTTTATAATTTAGAAGCCTCAGCAATTTACCTTAGCATCTAGATCGCTAAGTAGTTTCTAACTAGTGCTCCTCACTGATTGGTATGATCGATTTTCGTCCGTTTTTATCTCTAAAAACCATCTCATTGATTCTGTCCATGTTCACGTTTCATTGTCAAATCGGTCAATTCAAATAGGTTTCTTTCTTCCTTTCTTTCTTATCATCTTATACGTCCCTCCTTCAGTTCACCTGCTACCTATGCGCCATCTACTTCGTATTAAAGAAGTGATGATGTGAGTACGTGTTTGCTCGTTGTTTTACCACTCCTCTCTCATTCTCATCTTGTTTTTTCTCTTCTTTTCAGTATTTTTCTTCTTCTCATTCTTGTTTCCTTTCGTTTAGTAAGTAGCGTTTCTGCTAGATTGTGTTGATGTTCTTTCTTGCATTCCTTCTACCTTCTTTGCCCACATCCGTTTTAGCTCTCTCTCTTTCTCTCACTCCTCTGACTTTCCAGTTTTCTCTCCGTTTTTCTTCCCCCTCTCCTTCCTTCAACCGTAATGCTTTACCGTTGTCATAACATGCTTGCCATATTTAGCTAATCCTTAGTCGTATTAAGGGCTGTGGCATTACTCAGAGTTGCCAACAGAGCATGAGCATCATGTTCAGTCTCTTTGACGACGAAAATATTCGTGTAGTTAGAGTAGCAATATATTTACGAATTCTGGTTTCATCTAACTACCGTTTCGTTTTTACTAGTTCACGATAATCTGGTTTCGATTCGACTATAAGAGACTGGCAAGCCTTTCAGGAAACAACTCACACGTAGTTCTCTCTTTCTCGTGCCAAGTACTAATCTGCTTTATAGGCTGCAGCAGATCAGTACTTGGTTTGTATATTCTTTTTTGTTGCTTCTGTTTTCTCGTGTTTTTCCTTCCGTTTTGCTTCGATTTCTGTTATTTTGTATTGTATTCGTCTTTTCGGTTTGGCGGTTTGTTCTTGTGTCGGTGATGTGCTGCCTTCTCTTCTGCTCCTTTTTCACTTTCAGTGTCATCTCTCTCCTATTCTCCCTTGTTTTGCTTTCCCATTTCCTCTACATCGAAAAGCATATTGCACCTTTCAGGAAGCTAAGTTCAGTCTACAAAGTGGGAAGAGTAGTGGTGATTCGCAGAATTCATTATTACCTATTATATTTGTTGTATCTTGTTTTGCACCTTCTATTGTTATTGTTTTGACTTTGTTCTGGTGTGACTTGGGGTTTCTGTGTGTATATGTGTGTGTGTGTATTCATCTATACTCATTCATTCATTGCATTAGCAATGCATATCTGTGGGTCTTAAAAATTTGATCAGCCTATCATTTCCGGGAACGTTCTTTGCCCACTCAGTGAGTGTGTTCACTTGAACGGGATTTGATGTAACTGGTCATTTTTTTAGGATACACAGATTGTGTTGTATTCATGTGATAGTTGTATGACTTAAATTCTAGGCTATTGACTTCCCCCCCATGCTAGGCAGGGGATGCGGTAGCCTAGTTGTTTAGGTCTTACAACTATCACGCATTTATATCATTTACTGGCATACATACTGCAGTAGCATGTATCATACTCTATGCATTCTACTATGCATCATATTCATGCATTATGCAATCATTATTTAAAATCATCATTCTAATATACGCATTACAGGATAGACAGCCACTAAGTAGGCAAAAAATTACCACACACACGAGCATGCAGCCACATACATATCACAAGAAGTATCGTAAAGTAGTCATTGAGTATAACTCATTTTTTTTTTCATATTTTGATTGAAAAAATATGAAAAAAAAAATGAACATAACGATTGTAATAGGTTGCTTCGCAACCCAAAAAATCAAAAGCATTGTAGTTGTATATTGTTCGCCTGACGGGCACATAAAGCATATCGACAAATGATTCTTAGAACAAGGTGATATGATATAGGCTTTTTTTTACGAACTTATGTTGATAAACTTCAGTTCTGATCGATTTAACGACCTAGAAAAATCCATGGCAGTCTTCTCAGATCCAAATACATCGCATCACAGTTATGCGTATTGCATCAATCATATACAGAATGAGAAGTGGCTTCCTTAGATGTTCCTTGTACTCTATAACGAGTTAAAACCCTAAACATGGCCTGCCCTTCTCACGCTTTGTACGCGGTACGGGAATTCTCACTGGTCAACCGAGGTTGCCAGCGAGCGCGATTCCGTTATGGTCGCACGCTTTCTGTCACTTGGACAGCTTGGCTTGGGACTTGCACCCTCGCAGCATCGGGAATCCTGATTCTCGTCGAGTTTCGCAGCGCCTATCCGCGAGCGAAAACAGCAGGCGAAACAGATACACCTGCTTTGTTACATCGCACTCACAGGAGAGAGTGAGCAGCGCACCAACACATATCTTGGGGATGATCGTTGGCCAAATGCACCAACCTAACTTCTGCATTAGCTAGCTCTCATCCCAGCCCTTGCCTTACCAGCAACACCTAGGACGCCCAGTCCTTTCGCCACTCCCTTTCGCGGCTCCACTGCTCGGCTTAAGCGCCATCCACAGCGCCGCTCCCTGCGATCCTTTCATAGGCGAAAGCTTGCGACTGTCGCGCTTTTCTCTCGCCGCGGCTCCTCGCGTGCGGCGGCTATCGATGGTTACCACGGGAACCAACGCGGGGTCGATTCCAAGTACCGGGCTGGCGTGCGTGTTCGACGCGCATTCGCTCCGATGGCGGCAGTTGAAGGTCTCCCTGGGAGGCCCAGCCAGTCACGCCGACTCCGACTCGGACGCCGCCACCCGCCGCATCCGCCGGTGGATCGAGCCGTGCTGCCCGTCTCGCGCGCGACTGCGGTCCGCGGACGAGCTGCTGTGCCCTGCGACGGACGAGCTGCTGTGCCCCGTCGGAGAAATCGAGGGGCGGCGGCGCGCGGCGGGTCCGTTTCTGAGCTCGGAGCTGGTGGGCGCGGAGCAGCTGGCGGACGCGCTGCTGGGCAGCATGCCGCATGACACATGCTCCCTTTTTGAGAATTCTCAAAAACCGTTTCTGAGCGACGAGCTGCTGGGCGCGGAGCAGCTGGCGGACGCGCTGCTAGGCACCATGGCGCATGACGCATGCTTCCCGTATCCTGAATACCCCGACTACCCCCCGATGTACGACTCGTTCCCCCTCCCAGTCGCAGAGGACGACATGGAGGTCAAACCCCTCTGGGACCGAGGTCAAGCCCCTCTGGAGGTCCTCGCCCTGGAGTTTGATACGCGTTTAGAGCCGCGGCCTCTGCCGCAGGGCCAGAAGCGAGTGACGGCTCTTCGCGTGCTTACCTGTCGAGACTGCGATTCTGGCCTTCTGGATCGGCTGGTGCTGCCTGTGGGGCATCCGTGCGATTGGGACCTTGTGAGTCTGCAGTCGCTCTCCGTTGTGGCGCTGCCAGAGCGGGAGTCCTTTGACGGCGGCTGTTCGTATCGGGATCGCGAGATTTCGAAGCAGCCCAGGAGTTGCAGATGGGAGGAGAGTGATCAGGTGGAACAGATGAATCAGCTTATAACGGGTTGCCCACTCCTCCGCTCACTGCACTTCCAACTCAATTCTGGCGAATACCTCACTATAAGGGAAGAGGAATTCCCCTCTTCTCCCGTCTCGCCCACCTCTCCCTCCCTCTCTCCGACCTCCCACCTAACCTCCTTCCCCACCTCTCCTCCCTCCGCTCCCTCCGTCTCTCCCTCTCTGCACCCCAGCACCCGCCCCTCCTCTCCGGTCGACCCTTCCACTCTCTTCCCCTCCTCTCCCTCCTCCACCTCTCCCTCGCCTCTCCCGCCTCAGGGCTTTCCGAGCCTCTCTCGCCGGACCTGTTTGCAGGGCTCGGGCCGAGCCTGCGGTCCTTGACTTTCCTGGTGTATGCAAAGCAGAAGGGGGCGGGTGAGGAAGGGGATGGTGAGGGAGAGGATGGAGGGGAAGGGGGGATGAGGAGGAGTGGGGAGGAGGAGGCGGAGGAGGGCGGGTGGGTGGGGGATGAGTGGGCGAGGGAGGACGAGGTGGTGGGGTGGCTGCCTGCGTCGCTCTGGTCGCTCACACGCCTGCAGCACCTCACCACCAACGTGGGAGGCGCCTGGGACTGCACTGGCCTCAACGCCCTCTTCCCAACCCACGCCTCGCACTCCATCCCCCCCTCCTCTTCCTGCTCCTGCTGCTGCTGCTGCTGCTGCTCCTCCTCCTCCGGCTCCGACCCTTCCTCACACCAGCAAGAGCGCCACCACCATCAGTGCTTCTCCTCCCTCTCTAACCTCACCTCTCTCTCCCTCCTCTCGCACCGCACCTTCCCTCCTTGCCTCTCCTCCCTCTCCTCCCTCACTCTCCTCTCCATCCCCCTCGCCTCCCCTCTCCTCTCCCCCGGTTCTCTCGCTCTCTTCTCCCACTGGCCCCACTTGTCCCATCTGCACGTGAATGGTGAGGGGCCTGCCGAACCAGCCTTCTGCCGCACCAAACCTGGTTCCGCCAAACCTTCAACTGGTCCTACTCCTACCGAGCCTGCAACTGGTCTCACCGAACCTGCAACTGGTCTCACCGAACCTGCAACTGGTCTCACCGAACCTCCCTCGTGTCCCGAAGCAACTCCTTCCTCCAGCCCCGTCCGCCACCTCACTCTCAAGGGGACAGCTGGCGTCATCCCATTGGCTGTGTGGGGGCGCCTGTGCCCTCAGCTGCTCTCGCTCAAGATCCAGGGCTCGCCCCACGTGGCTGTAAGGGGGTGGGGGGAGCAGCCCCACGTGGCTGTAAGGGGGTGGGGGGAGCAACTGGCGGAGGGTTCTGGGAAGGGGTCCGTGGGGCATGGCGCATGTGGTGAGGGGGACGGCGCATGTGGTGAGGGGGAGGGCGCATGTGGTGAGGGGCATGGCGCATGTGGTGAGGAGAATGGCGCATGTGGTGAGGGGGACGGCGCATGTGGTGAGGGGGAGGGCGCATGTGGTGAGGGGCATGGCGCATGTGGTGAGGGGGAGGGCGCATGTGGTGAGGGGGAGGGCGCATGTGGTGAGGGGGAGGGCGCATGGGGAGCAGCAGAGGAGGCAGCTGCGTGCTTCTTCCCTTCCCTGGAGGAGCTTGTGCTGCGCAACGTGACCACCCATGCATCGCAGCACACATGCACAGCACACACATGCACAGAGCAGACAGGGACAGAGCATAGAGCCCACACCCACTTGCACCAGGGGCACACTCTGGCATTCATGGGTCGGCTGCCCCGCCTCACCCACCTGGCAATCGACCACACCCACTCGCTTTCACACCCCCCCACCCCAACGCACGCCCCCACCATCCTCCCGCCCCTCCTCCCCAACCTTACCTTCCTCCGCATCCACTCCCCCCCACCCGCCCCCCTCCCCGTGCTGCCGCACCTGCGCACGCTGATAGTGGGATCCTACCCTCACTCCTCCCGCTTCCTCTCCTCGCTCTCCCTCTTCCCCTCCCTCACGGCCCTCCGCATCTTCAACCTCTCCACGCACAACTACCACTCCGCGCTCTCCTGCCCTCCCTCACTCAAATCCCTCCAAATCTGCTTCTCCCACCTTCCTCTCCTCCCCGACTCCCTCCGCCTCTTCTCCTCCATCACTCACCTCCACCTCTTCCAGTGTTCCACGCCCCTCGCCCTGCCCGCCTGCCTCTCCGCCTTCTCCTCCCTCGCCCACGTGTCCTTTGGCAGCGACTACGACCCTGTGCTGCCCTGCCGCCTCCGAGAGTACCTCGGGGGGAAAACCTGGGAGCAGGAGGAGGCAGGGGAGGGGGGAGCGGAAGGAAAAGGGGAATGGGAAGGGAAGGGGGAAGCAGAGGGAGAATGGACGGAGGAGGATAAGGAGGGGGGGGAGGAAGGGGAGGAGGGGCGGGAGGGGGAGGGGATTGGGGAGGGGGAGGGGAAGGCAGAGGGTGAGGGGGAGGGGAAGAGGGAGGGGGAGGGGGAGGGGGTGCAAGCGGGGCAGGAGGTGGAGGTGAGAGGCCCACCAAAGAACGCGAGTGCCACGTATCCTCATTCGCACAACCAATCGCAGTTCCCAGCAGAGGTGTTACCAGCAGAGGTGTTACCAGCAGAGGTGTTACCAGCAGAGGTGTTACCAGCAGAGGTGTTACCAGCAGAGGCGGTACCAGCGGAGGTGCTAGAATGCGTGTTCCAGCGGATTCAGCTGCATGGGGACGAGGCGAGCGTGAGAGGCGTGTGCCATGAGTGGCGCCAGTGGTGCCGCCTGCACACCTCCTTCTTCGCCCTCGCCTTCCACCCCCTCCTGCTCTCCTGCCTCCCCCTCGCCCTGCTCCACTCCCCTCCCCCCCCTCCCACTCGCAACCCATGGGGCTGCAGAAGCTGCAGCAGGAGAAGCTACCATGGGATGGCAGCTCACGCCAGCTCCCCTCTTTCGTCCCTCCCATGGCACCCCGCCTTCTCTCCCTTCTGCGTCCTCCTCTCCTCCCCCACCTCCCACACCTTCTCCCTGCTCCCCTCCTGCCCGCCTCCCCTCGCCCTCCCCCATCCCATCAGCCCCTCCTCCCTCTCCTCCTGCTTCACACGCCACTATCGAGCCAAATGGGACTCAGAATTCCCCCCCATCTGGCTAGCCTCGCTCCCCTCCCCCTCCTCCCTCGCCCACACCCTCACGCTCTACCCCAACCTCTCTGCACTCCTCCTCCCTATAGTCTCCACCGCACCTCACCCCCTCCAACCCTCCCATGTGCGCTCCCTCCTCTCTGCTGCCGCCGCCCTCCCCGCCCTTACCTCCCTCTCCGTGCTGCTAGAGCCGGGCTTTAGGGGGGAATACGACTGGGGGTATGGGCGGGAAGAGCTGTGGGAGATGCCTGAGGACGAGAGGAAGAGGGAGAAGCGGAGGTGGTGGGGGGAGACGAACAGCGAGGTGGAGAGGGGGCTGTTTGCGGTGCTGAAGGGGTGCCGCGGTCTCAAAGAACTGCGTATTCAGGGGGAGAACGTTGCCGATCGGCTCAAACTCCCCCCCTCTCTCTTCCTCTTCTGCACGCATCTCACCTCTCTCTCCCTCCCTCTCTCCCGCCTCCCCTCCTCCCTCCTCCGCCTCACTCGCCTCACTTCTCTCTTCCTCGCCCTCCCTGTCGGTCACATGCCCCCCCAGTTCGCCCACTCCTCTCCCTTCGCCCGCCTGTCCTCCCTCCGCTCCCTCTCACTCCACGTGAGTGAGCAAGACATCAGCAGCAGCAGCAGTGGCGTGTCTTTGCATGACAGCAGCTGGAGTGGGCTCTCAGAGGGCCTGCTGTTGGGCCTGCCGTCGTGCCTCTCCTCCCTCTCCCTGCACCTCCCCACTGCCACCATGCCCACCTCCTTCTCCGCGCTCACTGCCCTCACGCTCCTTGCCACCAACCTCTGGATTCCGGGGCTGGAGGGCGGGGAGGACGAGGGAGACGGAGGGGTGGGAGAGGAGGAGTGGGATGGAGAGAGATGGGAGGATGGCGCAGTTGAAGAGAATGGAATGGGCGAGGGAGATGAGGATGGTTGGTGCGATGCTGATTTGTGCCCCAACGGAGACGAGGATTGTTGGTGTGATGATCATGATGAGGGTGAACTGCACAACTCAGCCGGTGCTTCAAGCATTCACCACAACCGACTGCTGCCTCTCTGCAGCCTCTCTTCCCTCACGCTCTCCAGCTGCTGCTCTTTCCCCCCGCTCATTCGCCACCTCACTCGCCTCACCTCCCTCTCCCTCGGATCCTTCGGTGCCGATGGGATAGGCTCTAGCACCCGATCCTGCTCACTGCACCACGGCCTCTCTCGCCTCACTCGCCTGCGGGAGCTCTCCCTCTGCTGCGACAGCTTCTCTCAAGAGCGCCTTCCCCGCTTGCCCCGCCTCCGCCGCCTCCACGTGCAAAACTACAGTGACAGCGTCGACATGGCCCGCCTGATGGCTGCTGTGGCGCACTCTTTGGAGCAGCTGCACATTGATTGTCAAATTGATCTGTGCGAGACAGGAAGCAACAGAGGGTTGAGCTTCCGGAAGCTCAAGCTGCTACACCTGGAGTTCTTCGCGCGCTTATCTCGGGTAGACATGGCACTCTTCCCTGCCCTAGAACACATGGTACTGACAGAGAAGGTCAATGTGAACTGGGGGGTGGAGAGCGGTTTCTCGAATAACCTCCGCTTCCTGCAATTGGGCTATGCTGTTAGACTGCCTAGAGACCCTGGTGACCGAGAGCATGAGCTGATGCAGCTCACGGCGCTCACCACTCTCATTGTGGACAATGCAGACTACCGGGATTTCCTTGCCGCCCTCTCCTGCTTCTCCTCCCTGCGCACCCTCCGCCTCTCCAACATCACCCGAGGCTGCTCTGAGCCCTACTTCTCCTGCCCGCCTCTCCTCTCCACACTTCAGATCTGCTTCTCCGACCTGCCCCGCCTCCCCCCTTCACTCGCTCACTTCTCCCGCCTCACTCGTCTCGACCTGCTGCACTGGCGCCGCCTGCACTCTCTCCCGCCCTTCCTCTCGTCCTTCTCGTCGCTGCACCACCTGAGAGTCACGAGCGATGGGCCCAAGCCCACCCACCCTGCTTGCCTGAAAGGCTTTCTTCGAGGCAGGGACTGGTACAAGTATTCGCGATGTGATGGCAGGAACTGGCACCAGCATTTACATTATTAATATTCCTGGAAAAGATTGTTGAGGGACACTGCTCTTGTGTGTTATGAAGTGTACAAGAATGTGCGTGGAATAACGAATAACAAAACTGTGATCACAACGTAGTATTCTACAGGCAGAAACTGTCACATGTGATAGACAGTAGTGAGGCATGTCATGTGGGGTACAGACATTAGGGTTTGTCATATGTACCCCAACTGATTCTAATTACATCATCCATTCCCATTCTGAGATGGTATCAGTTAGGTTAGACAAGGATCTGCACGCTGCCCGTTGCGCCCGTAGCGCCTGTAGCACCCGCCGCGCCCGTCGCCCAGCTCGTAACGCCCTGCCCGTCGCGCCCGCCCGCCCGTCCCGCCCGTAGCGCCCTGCCCGTCGCGCCCGTAGCGCTGTGCCCGTCGCGCCCATTGCGCCCTGCCCGTCGCGCCCTCCCCGTCAGCGCCCTGCGCGACCGTGCCCCTTGCACCCTGCCCGCCCGCGCCCTTAGCGTCCCGTCCGTTCCGCCCGTGCCCAGTTCCCTTCTCGTCGCGTCCTCTCTTGTGCCCGCGAACTGCCGTGTCGCGCCTGTCCCGGCTGCGCCCTGCCGCCGCGCCCTGCGCCCTGCCGCCGCGCCCTGCGCCCTACCGGTCGCGTCCCGCCCTTCGGTTTGCCCGTCGTGCGCAGCCTGGCCGCCCTGCTCAGGCTTTCTCGGCGGCTGGCAGCCGCATCTCCCCCCCTACATAGTCAGCTATGGCGGCCCCTATAGTTCTCTGCTTCGATGCCGAGGGTAGACCGCTGGAGTTCTCTGTCTGGCTTCTTCGTGCGCAGCGCCTACTAGAGAGTCAGTGTCAGGCTGACGAGACCCTCTGGGCGCACGCCTCCGTTGACCTCCCTGCGCCGCCTGCCCCAGCTGCACTGTAGGCGCTGACCCCACTGTTGCAGACAGGGAGCGCTTTGCACGAGAGCGGGCTGCCCTTACAGCTTGGAAGTTTCGCGACGCAACGGCCTGCATCGCCCTCAGCAGCCTCCTCCCTGAGTCTAAGGAGGCGCACTTCACTCAGGTTCGCTCTGCTAGAGAGTACCTCACTACGATTAAGGCCCGCTTCTCCACTCCCACCACTGTCTCACTTGGTCGCCTGTTCCTCTCGTTCCTGTTTCCTGACCTTGCCTCCTTTGAGCGCTCTGCTGACTTGATCACTCGCCTGCTTTCGCTAGACTTGAGCTACCGCGCTGCCTGTACCGATGCACAACTCGCACTGCTCCCCCCCCCTCCCCTAAGGCGATCACTTATTTATTTTATCGTCACTAGCCTCCCTGACCGCCTTGCCACTGTTCGACGCAGCAGCCACAGCAGCAGCAGCAGGTACAGCAGCAGAGTATAGGCCAGCGTCCGCTGTCACGTGGCGACGCCCACCCGCCCTGCCCGTACTTCGTTCAGACCGGTACTTGTAGTGGCTACCACTGCGGCCGCCGTCACCCACCGGGTCAGTGCTTTACTCGGCTCACTGACCGTCTTCGTGCGGCGTACGGTGCAGACGGCCCTGCGCCTGACTGGCTCCCTCTTGTTCAGTCGCACGGTCCCGTTTTGTGAGACATGTTTGCATCTCAGTTGCTTGATCTGTTAGGATCTGTGGATGCTATGTATGCTGTTGCTGACTATAGTGCTCCTGGATCTGTTTGCTCGCGTGCTCCTAGCTTAGGTGTTAGTGTTGATCATGTGCCCGTTGCTAGTGTAGGTGTTTGTTTAGGCTCTAGTCCAGGTGCCACTTCGGTGGACGCGTCGCTGTCTTTCACGCTGGACTTCGGTGCGTGGCAGTGTTTCTTCCGCGACCACGCAACTCTTACTCCGCTTCCTGCACCGGTCTGTATAGCACTGGCTGATTCGACTTCGGGACCAGTCATTGCTCGCCACTCTATTACGCTCCCGTACCCGGCCGCCCCTCCAGGTTCCCTGACAGTCCTCCACGTCCCCTCGTTCTCTAGGAACTTGGTGGGCGTGAGGCCTCTGGTGAGTCGGCACGTTGGTGTCTGGTTAGAGCCTTCTTGGGACTCTGCGACCTGTGTGGACGGCGACACGTACGCCCCCTCTGGCCACCTTTTGCTAGGAGCCGGGTTCTGGTTTCTACACGCTCCACACTGGCCCCCGAGAGAGGCTACAGCTGGAGCAGCAGCCGCCGCAGCAGCAGCAGCAGCAGCCGCCGCCTCCGACCCCTGTCACTACCCCCCGTCAGGTCCCAGCGCCCCGTCAGGTAGGTACGTCCCGCCAGGTAGCTGTGTCTGGTCAGGTTACGGCATCCGGTCAGGTTGTTGCGTCGTGCTCATATAGGTCACTTGCCCCACCCACTGTCTAGTGGCACCACCGACTTGGTCACCTGTCCCTTCCCCGCCTACGCACTATGTCCAGTCAGTGTCTAATCTTAGGCCTCCCACGAGTCTTGCCGTCGTTGCCGCCTTCGCCTGCACCACCGTGCGGCCCTTGCGTCGAGGGTCGGCTCCGTGCCACCCCTCACTCCTCCTCCCTTCGTCCGGCCATCGCCCTCTTCGAGACTCTCTACTTGGACGTCTGGGGCCCTGCCTCTCGCTCTGGTCTTGAGCAAGAGAGTTTCTTTCTGGTGGTCGTCGACGACTACTCTCGCTACACCACTATTTTCCCTTTGGCGAAGAAGTCTGGCGTAACTTCTACGCTGATCGAGTGGTTGCTCACCACAGAGGGTACTCGTCACCGTCGTATTAGTCGTATTCACTCCGACCACAGGGGTGAGTTTTGCTCCGACATTCTTGCCAGCTTCTGTGCCAAGCAGGGCATTGCCCAGTCTTGGACCCTTCCAGAGTCTCCACAGCAGAATGGGGTAGCTGAGCGCCACATAGGCTTGGTCATGGAGATTGCACGCACCTCCATTATCCACGCCTGTGCGCCCCATTTTCTGTGGCCCTACGCGGTTCGGTACGCCGCTCACCAACTGAACCTCTGGCCTCGTGTCTCCCGGCCAGGGGTTTCACCAACCAGTCTTTGGACCGGGTCCCCTGGTGTCGCGTCGCGCTTTCGTGTCTGGGGATGCTTGGCGCTTGTTCGCGACACCTCCGCGGACAAGCTCTCGCCTCGCGCCCTTCCCTGTGTCTTTCTTGGTTTCCCAATGGAATACTCTGACTTCACCTTTTACCACCCTCCCCTTCACCGGTTCTTTGACTCTCGCGACGCCCGTTTCGACTAGTCAGTCCCCTACTACACCCGTTACCCCTGTCGAGGTCTCCCGGTTTCCCCCCCCCCCCCCTCCCTCTCTTTCTGGCTCCCACTCCTGCTGCCCCTCCGGTACACCCTCCCCCCCCTGGTCCAGCCCCGTCTGGTGTGTCGCACGCTACCAACCCCCCCCCCCCCCCCTCCTCTCCTCGGTAGCCCCTCAGGTCCCGTCCCCTTCTCTACTGTCACCGCAGCAGCCGTCAGCACTTCCTTCACAGGCTACTGCAGAGTCTGAGGGTACTGGAGTTAGTGGTGAGCACCCTGGAGGTGCTAGCTCTAGGAGTGTTGGAGTTGGAGTTGAGCGTGCGCCTGCCGGAGGTACTGGTTTTGGGGGTGCTGGAGTTGGTGGGGCTGTCCCTGGAGGTGCTATGCCCGGAGGTGCGGGTGCACCTTCTTCTGGACCTGGAGAGACTGGGACTAGTCGCGTTGCCGCTAGGGGTGCTCATTCTGGAGGTGGTACGACTGGTGCTGTGGAGAGCGGAGCTTGGGCTACCGCGTCTCCGGACGCCACTCCTCCTCCCTACCCCTACCCGACCCGGCACCAGGCTCTTCTTCGACTTGGGCGTGAGGAGCAACGGAGGTTGGAGCGAGAGAGGCTGGAGTTGGTGCAGCTCCAGCGGGAGCTTCAATAGCTGGAGCAGCAACAGCAGCTAGAGCAGCAGCAGCAGCAGCACCGGCACTCACCAGCCGCAGCAGCAGCAGCAGCCGCCCCCGACCCCTGTCACTGGCCTCTGGGCCCTTGGTCTTCCCTTTTCTCCTCCTGCGTCCTCCTCCTCTCCTCCTGCGTACGGTCCCACATTTCCTCCTCCTGACTCAGCCCCGACTGTTTTCCCCTGTCCTCAGACTCAGTCGCCCCCTCCTCCTCTTTCTCACACTTGGGCTCCTCGCTCTACTCGTGCTCGTCTCTCGTCTCCTGTCACTGACCTTCATACTGTTCTGTTTTGTTCTAGTCCACCTCGTCCTTCTCCGCCTGTGCATCCTTCCCCTCCGGAGTCGTCCCTCACTGCTTCCTCCTCTGCTCCTCTCACTGACTACTACCGCACATACCGTCATGTTCTCTCTCGTGTTCTCGCCTCCCTTGTTCCGGACCCTTGTGCCTCTCTGTCCTCTGTCTCAGCTCTTACTGCTGCTGTCACTGACTTCGCCGCTACTCGCCGCCTTGACTACGCCACTCATGTAATGGTTGCTCCTCCTACCCATCCTTTGTCCGTCGGGGGTGAGTCTGCCCTTGATTGTGCCCTCTGGCCTTTGTTCGTCGTGGGCCCACACCTTTCTTTGTTCTTGTGTACGTCGACGACCTGGTCTTTGCCACTGCAGGCAGGGTTGCTGTGGCTGAGGTGAAGTCCGAACTGCATAAGAGACACACGTGCACTAACCTTAGTGAGCTGCGCCACTACCTTGGCCTGCAGATCACCAGGGACAGAGCAGCTCGCACCATCACTCTGACTCAGGCACACTTGGTGCACCAGGTCCTTCAATCGTTCCGGCTTCAGTTCTCCACTGCACAGCCCACACCTCTTGCTAATGACCACAGACGCACGTACCCTTTCTTGACGAGCCGTTTGAGCCCTATGGTCCTTACGCGGAGTTGGTGGGGCTGCCTCATGTACCTGATGACTTGTACTCGCCCGGACCTCGCCTTCCCTCTCAGCATCCTTGCTCGCTTCGTTGCGACAGCGAGTTGTACTCACCGGTCACTGTGACTCCTCTTACGCTGACGACGTCAAGACTCAGAGGTCCACGCAGAGGTACTATTTCAGCTTGGGCTCTGGCGCTCTGTCGTGGA